ATAGCTGAGGGGGTGGGGGAGGGAGGTCTGTGTTTGGAGATAGCTGGGGGAGGAAGGGGGGAGGGGTATGTGTGGAGATAGCTGGGGGAGGAAGGGGGGAGGGGTATGTGTGGAGATAGCTGGGGGGGGCGAGCAATGGTTATCAATTATCGGGTTATCTGCCTCGTTCGTGGCTTAGCGATTCCGTTCCGGAGATAGTCCTGAATCCTGCTTGTCGTCAGGTCAGGAGTGATTGCAGCTCATGAGCCACTCTAGTCTGTTAAATATTGTGTAGCTTGATTATCTGCAATACATCCTTGAACCTGTTATTATATGTCCGGAAGCACATTTTCTTGCTTCATTGTTCCTAAGTATGCATGTGGACTCAGAATTTAACCCGACTCACTGTTCACAAGAGCGCATACGCATATATACGTCCTGAGCAACATATTTTCAGACTTGTGCGAAAAGGAAAGAAAATTGTATTCATCTGATATGAGGGTTGTGCTCTCCAGCCTCTATGATCCTGTCTCCCTAACGCTACCCAGCCGGAATAAAGGTGAGACTCCACATTAATCTTTCAAATATTGGAGGTAGGACGGATACACTATTAAGAATATTGCAGATGAAACATATCCCAGGTAGGGCGGCAGAACTCGCTAGACTAAGTTGTCAAACCTATACTATGAATACAGTAAACGCACACACAAAACTATCTAAACTGAATGTATCCAAACTTCACGTTATTTCGAGTCTCGCATCAAATGTGTTTATTTACCTTAGATAAAACGCCTGTTCGTCCCTTCACTCGGAAGGGAGATTTTTATGATAGACCACATGAGCTCCATATACCCTATGGCGTCCTTTTTTTCACTCCTCTCTCGAGACAGAGAGGTCGTCCGATGCCAAAAAAAAAAAGACTAAAAATTTGGGTCCTCTGACTGAACTTCTGCATCGAGAAATTGTCCAGTCTGCCACACTCGTAAACCTAGTGACTATGGCATAGCGTAGTCTTGAGATAACTGATCACTGGCACAACGTTGTTCGCTTTACTTCCACCATACTCATACATGTGTTTTGATGGAACAGTGCTAGTACATTGAAAGATACGCAATAGGTATCCTCGTTCAGCAACTCATCTATTGTAGATATCAGATGTCACATCAAAACCAACGAAACTATAACGAAACGCGTCGTATTATTCGTACCGGCGCCGCTCGAGGTTCTGATGTATTTGGAGAAATCAATACTTCACCGCAAAGAAATTGTATCTAGAGTGTAGTTCTGTTACTATAACACGTACGAAAGTCGCTCGCCCACATTGTGCATATGCACAATGTTTCTTTGAAAACGCTAGCACAATGGTTCTTAGCGTACTTGCCGTGTCTGTAGCGATATCTGCAACAGTGGTAGCGCCTTTTGGCTACAACACATCGCCTCATAGTTTGGCATCGACATCCCGTCGTGAGGTGGAGCTCGTGTGCACCGACGAGGAGAAAGAGTGGGTGTATAAGCCTGACAATATGAATCGCGACTGCGGCCCTACATGCAAGGATGTTGCCTGTCAGGAAACTAATGTTTCATGTGGGGACTACGGAGAAGTGACCGAAGAGCGGTGTGGTAAGTTGAAGACTGATCCCCTGATACTGTTTCGTCTGGCGATGTCTTGACTTATGCTATATATTGTGATGTGCCAATTAGCTTACACTTTAGTACCCTAAAATTCATATTCACCACAGGACTCATTGTCGATCCAAAGGACCAACAGAGCGGAGAATACGACGGTGTGTATATTTTTAGTACTATGCTTTGACAGCTGCCATAAATGGATATTAAATTTTTCCTTTATGGGTCTGTCCATCGTATTTTCGAAAATACTGCTGTTGTAAAGACATGACTACATAGAACTCATTCTCGATACCTTTGGCACCCCAACAGATCAGCGCTGTGGAGGTAACTGTACGAGCACTACAGGGCAAGCCGAAATGAATTGATGTTGTTGACTTTTGATGAATTGGTTGTTAACTCGCCATCATCAGCAACTATCGTGTTAATACACATCCCTGCACAATTTCAAGACTCGATTTTTCCATTTATCTGACTTTGCAACGTTCCTCTGGTTCCTGTCTGCTTCGTGTCCGGCCTTTGTCATTCGATTGGTTGCTTTATCAATTAGTGTGCTAATCTCAGCTTGTTCTGTGCTCGTACCGCACACTCTCACCAACCACTTGCCTGTTTGCCGCATGATCTGGCGACTAGTGTTTCACTGCTGCCCAACAGGCCCGGAATGCAGTAAGTAATCGATTGACTACATCCTTTATATCATCGCCGCTTAATGATGATAGTGCACAATTTTCATCCCTGAATATATATACATATATATATATATATATATGTCGGATATTCTCAGCGCGAGCATCCGCGACTCCGCTCCCCTAATATTACTCTCAAAATTAACCGTCGCAGTCTTTCGTTGTTGTCACTAAAGGTATGAGTGTGCTGATACATTAAGACATGTTCACTACATAGCGCGTCGCTGGAGCTCTCCGTTCGACCGCTCACCGGTCGTCTTGAAGTGAGGGCACAAGCGCCGGTGGGACTAAACAATACATGAAATTGCGACTGAAGCGGGAATGGGTCGATATCGGATAACGTAACGACAAACTTGTACGGTCGCTGTGTCGCTGTGAGAGATAAAGTTCGCTATTCATCCCGGGTTGGTCACGGTGCAACTATTGTTAAGGTGATTTTACAACCAAGACTAATAACTTGCTCTGACACTTCAAGATCGCGGGTATCCAGTTGTTTACGACATCAATTTGCATGATACTGTGGTCATTTGATACACGTTGAGCACACTCAGGATGCTTTCTGTGTTTATGGCAATATTGGGCCACGAACAAAATTATGATGGTACTTGTTCAGCAAATTACATATACCCTAAAACCCTGGATGAGTGACTCTTTGTGGCTCAATTGTCAAAGCTCTCCGAGAACCAACCGACCTCGCTAGCAAGAACCATCACGAGATAACAAATAGCGAGGGAGCGTTACTAAATATTTTCGATTTTATTGACGCCCAGTATAAACGAGATACTGAAAGGCACAACTGGACTAAATGGTAGCACCGCGCATGTATGTGACCAGACAGAGAGTGTGGTTGAGCAGATTTGAAATTCGATCCCATGACTCTGCGTGCACCTCTTGCACCTCGGCCACCGCCGCCATGAGCTCAGGGAATTGGGGAAGGAATTCAGCATGGATCTGTGGCAAATGAGTTGGGTGTTGAGATAAAGATTGTATGATAGACACAAAAGAAATATACATGCTAATTAGAAAAGTACACGTTCCAAGCGATATAAATATATAGACAGATCCAACGATACCATAATATTTTATATGTACTACAGATAACTGACTCTGTAGATTGTACCCAGGTATGGACTGGTGACGCATGGGCTTATCGTTTGAAACTGATGAACAAGAATATACGAAGTGTTGCTTTATGCGTACATAATTAGAACGCCATATCCGATTAGTACGTGTCATTCGGTTTTAGAAAATAGTTGTAATAACGAAGATTATATACGACAACGCTTGCAGATTAATTATAAACACACACCTGTAGGTATGATGCCATCAATGACTCGATCATCTCGAAGTTCCGCTTGCTCTGTAGCTCGTGTTCAAAGAACCGCACGAAATGGTACTGAGCGCAATCCACGGAATTGGACACATCCATCCCCCTGATCTCCAAGTCAATGGCTGACACACTCATGTCCATTAACAGCTCAACCAATGGGTCGTAGTTGTCTGCTGAGGCACACTGGGCCAGTACTTGGCAGAAGTGTGTGCGATTGTCCATACGATCCGTGTTGAGTATGCGTGACTTTGGTTTGGAGTCCTCGGTGTCGTCCTCAGCCGCGATAAATTGTGGATTCACACCTGTATGGGGTGGCGAAGAAACTTTATGGATGAGTATGGATTGCAACATTTGGTCGATATACACACAAAGTATATTATAGAACTTTTCGGTTATCCCTGAGCCATATATAGAAATGCAAATTAGATCCGGTATAGTGAATTCTGGCCATGTGGTGACCATGATGCGGAACCGTGTACTAAGGAACCGTGTACTAACAGAAGCATTAAGATTAATACACTATCCTATTTAAATTAAAAAGTGGGCTGAAAACGACAAAACTGCTCCAGAAATACACGTTTTTGTTTTTGTTTTTGCGAAAGACCGCAAAGCAGCAAATCGCAAACTATGTGGTTTTGAGCAATTTTGAGTCCGACACATTTCCGAGTCTCAAACAAACCCACGACGCAAACCAACTCGCTCATATAGTATACCTACATGCAGCTCAGACACGAAGAACCTATCATACGTTAGGAGCACTCGCACTAAACCATTACACGCCTATAATCTGGAACCCACCAGACAACCTGGCAACACATATATACCTGGTAGCGTTGGCAGGAAGAAAGGCGCCGCCTTGGGCTTCTCCACAGGCTGTATAGGCTTGTTGCGTTCCTTAATCACTTCAAGGTGGGCGAGTGAGTGCCAGAAGGACGCTGGCTTGCCACTGAGCGATGCAAGACTGTCATTGGCCATGGACTCGTTTGGAGCGTTTTGATTGGTCGAATCATCGCCCATTTCAATCTCTATGGTTGCATTGGCTTCTTCCTCGTCGTCATCGTAATCTGAAGTAGTATCACGTGTACATATGTCAATAACTAGAGTACACATCTTAGGCGGTCCTTCCTTACATACACCTGCACGACAGCACACTTCTGTTTTACCTACCACAAACCCATTGTAGGCCTCTGGACACGTCAGGGCCGCATCACTTTTTCTACTGATAAGGAACACGTTTCACTCAGCGAGGCCTTGCCATCGCATACGGGGCCATTTGATCACGAGAATAATAGGTTAGCAGATGGATAACAATACACCGGTCGTACCTACTCCAGCCATGGCAGGCGTCTTGATACAACAAGGCTCTGGGCCCCGCATCAACATCGGTATCACTGCCCATACCATAGTCACTACATCCATACACACGACACATCTCTTTCACATACAAACATATGTTCTCCTCCACGTCCGAACCGGATTTCATGCAATGCATACCTAATCCGGCCATAGTAGGCATCTTGACACTGTAGGGCTCATCCACATCCTCATTATCACTATCGCTGTCGTAGTCCATAGACACTTCCTCGGGCTCTGTGGTGGTCTTCAATGAGACGCTGGAGAACACCGTCATATTGGCCCACATGTAGATACCAAGCTGTGATGATACAAGCCAGATAGCGTTAGAATGATTAACATCGGGTACTTCCACAGAAGAAGTTATATATACATATGCATATGCGATTCTAAATAGATATGTGAATAATGATAGAAAGAGTATATGCATAGATGCTGCGTTGCAACAAATACGCTACTACGCCTAATGGCCGGAGTGCTCCACTTAACAAGACCTTGACCAATGGCATATCACGCACAATCCATGAACGTATAACCTAGCAACGAAATATAACGTAATTGAAGGTAGAGGTTTATGATTGATGGTGACAGTCTATCACACGACGGTATACCACACTACAGAATAAAATCAAAACTCGAATACACTTAAGTCAATCAATGACTCCCAATTCACTGACAAATACTCCCGATAGTGTTATCAGGCTCACAAGTCCGACACCGACGTTAATGAATCCAAAAAAGGAAAGGTATGCAACCCACATATAGCAGCAAAATAAAATGTGTGGACGTCCTCCGCAGTAACATCCGTAGATGTTTAGCAAAGGCATGTGTACTGTGCCGAGAAAATTCTATACTGACTGATGAAAGGCCAGCTGTAGATAGAGGCTCCATCCATACGCATGCGCATTACATAAATCGGGATACAAGTACGAGTTCTTCTACTTGCAATGTAACATCCCACCAATACTTTCCATGTACATTTTACCACCTTCTGGATTTAGATTCACACACATCTCTGAGATCCCTATACAACATACCGAATCTACATGTGTGGTGGCAAGGAAGTCACCTGTTGGTGAGAAAGTGAGACCAGTTACAGCCAAAGGCACCCGCATCCAATCCAGCAAACGGCCTGCAACCACGTCCCACACTCTGACTGTGGCATCCATACTCGCTGTCACGAGCCATCGTCCGTCAGGGCTGAAGGTCGCATCCGTGACCCTGAGAGGTGTGCAGACGAGTACAAAACAGGAGTTAAGATATCAATAGGAATGTACCTATGCATGTACATGATATAACCGAACCGAACCTAAAACCTGATATTTACTACCGTGCCCTGAGAACACACGAATGATGCGCCCTATCGCTACACCCCAGATAGGCAACCAACCGCGGTACGGGACTTGACGCTTACACTCATACGCATCTATCCTCACATGCACCACTGATACACTAGGGAGCACGACATATGAAGCCGACAACCTACCAGTCACAAGATAATAACATACCTGTTGTGGTGTCCTTCGAATACACGCACGACGCGCTTCATCTCGATATCCACCAGATGCACGCTGAAGTCATCCAGAATAACCGCGACCATATCGTTCTCCATATGCGGCACCAGCTTACTCACAGGCGCATCAAACTTCAACGTATGTGCGTGTCTTAACGTTCGGAAACTGAAGAACTTTACGGTCTGGTCTGCCCCTCCCGTCACCACCCATGTATTCACCGCGTTCGTACACAAGCCCCATACTTCCCCACTGTGACAGGGTGTGTTCCTAGCTCCCCCTACAGTGGCTTTGACCTTTCCTGACTGCAGAGAGTACTGGTGCACTTGCCCATTGCTAAGGCCTACGAATGCCCAGTTGCCGCATTGAGAGATCGAGCACATCTTGGCCACTACGCCTTTTAGTTCAAGCTGTGGATGATAGGTTAAAAAAAAACTATATAAGCACCCCTAGATAACCACATACACGTCCCCGCGAAACAATACTGGCATGAATACGACCGTTCCTACAG